TGCATGACTCGACAAAAACAAAACAAAAACAATAGCCAGTAGTGAGGAATCGTAGTGAGGAGTGAGGAGTCTATGCAGGTAAAGGGCTTTGAATGGGGCCTGGCATGTGATGAGTGAGAGCACTGCCAATAAATATTGTTGATACTAATCATTTTTACTATTATTACCGAGGCTCACCTGCTCCTCACATATGCAATTCACAGATGAGGAAACTGAGGTCCAGAGATTAATTCCCAATTAGGAAGCCTTCCCGGTGGGATTGGAGCTTTTACAGCGTCTGGGCAGGAAACTGGCCTTGGAGCTTCAGCTCACAGGGAGCCTGTCAGTGACCTTGAAACCCGCAGCCCCACCCCCGGCCACGTGGGCTCCTAACAGGAAGAACTTGCCTGCCCAGCTTCCCTGGGGTGGGGTGGGGGGTGACTGCTTAAATTAACACTGGTGGGACTTCCCTGGCGGTCCAGTGGTTAGGAATACGCGCTTCCACTGCAGGGGGCACGCGTTCGATCCCTGGTCGGGGAACTAAGATCCCGCACTCTGCGAGGTGCGGCCAAAAAAAAAAAAAAAATTAACACAGGTGATGGAAGTGAAATGCCCTTGCAAACCTGAAAGCCATAGAGATTATTATTCCACTTTATTCACCAGCTCATTTGTTTGTTCGTTAATTCCCCAAATGTTTATAGAGCCTGTCTGTGCACCAGGTGATGTAACAGTGAGCAGTACAGAGATGGCCTGTCCTCAGGGTCTTACGTGCACATGAGGGACATCTCCCCCCACAAACAAAAACAACTGTGATGTCAGGTAGGGATACTTGCTAGGAAGAAAAATAAAGCCATAGTTGGTCATGGGACAGACTGCAAAGGAGGCTCTTGTTTCAGAGCAGTCTGGAAAGTTCTCTTGGAAGAGGTGACATTTCTGCAGAGACCTGAAGGAAAGGAGGGAGTGAGCCATGCTGTTACCTGGGAAGAGCCTTCTAGAAGAGGGAACAGCAAGGGAGAGCCTGAGCCAGGAGTAGGCTTGGTCTGACTTCCTCATTCAACCCACTGCAGTCTGACTCCGCCCTCATCAAGCCTGCTGCAGTGAGCACAGGCCCTAATTGCGAAGCCCAGTGGCATGTCTCAGCCCTTGTCTCTGCTGCATCTGACAAGAGATGAACAACTTCTCAACCACCCACCAGCCAATAGTGACTGGACACCTACCCCGTGCCAGGAATGATTTTTAAGGACAGACACGGACCCTGCCCTCAGGGTGCTTACAGTCTCCTGGGAGACAGATGGTAAACAAATAAATGTGTGAGTACAGGCTGTGGATGGACTTTGCGTGGTGAGGGAAGGCCTCTCTGAGGAATCAGCCGGGCAAGATGGGAGGAGACGTCAGAACACCGTAGCCCCATTTTACAACTGCTTGTCTTCTCCTGCCGTGTTTCTAAAAGGGAATCAGAGTGTATGTGAGGCCGGAATTCTGAGCCGCATCATTACATCGTAGAGGCCCAGAACCTGTTTTTGCACACTACAGAGCAGAACAGAGCATTGCTGCCTATCAGCAGAAGGAACGCTGGCCTTGGAATTGAATGAATGTGGAGTCAGGCCTGGCTCTGATTCGGTGACCTCAGAGGGGTCACTTCACGTCTCATGTTTCTTTATATGTAAATGGGAGTATTCATAAGATCCCTGACTAGCACATCAGGCAGGTGGTTGTTGTCAAGGTTTCCTTTTTTCTGGCTGCGTTGGGTCTTTGCTGTTCTTTTTCTTTTCATGGGTCTTCGTTGCTGCGCGCGGGCTTCCTCTAGTTGCGGCAAGCGGGGGCTACTCTTCATTGCGGTTTGCAGGCTTCTCACTGCGGTGGCTTCTCGTTGCAGAGCACAGGCTCTAGGCACGTGGATGTCAGTAGTTGTGGCTCACGGGCTCAGTAGTTGTGGCTTGCGGGCTCTAGAGCGCAGGCTCAGCAGTTGTGGCGCACGGGCTTAGCTGCTCCATGGCACGTGGGATCTTCCTGGACCAGGGCTCGAACCCGTGTCCCCTGCATTGGCAGGCGGATTCTTAACCACTGCGCCACCAGGGAAATCCCTGTAAAGGTTTCTTAATCATTTACAGGCAAAGGTACTCTAAAAAGTGTGATGGGAGTTCCCCAGTGGCCTAATGGCTAGGATTCTGGGCTTTCTCTGCCAAGGGCCCAGGTTCAATTCCTGGTTGGGGAACCAAGATCCCAAGGCCGTGCGATCGCCAAAAAAAAAAGTGTGACGTATAAGGTGGCGTTACCAGTAAGTAGTAGAGAGAAGGCAATTATCTTGAAAAAGGAAATACTGTGGATGGTCAGTCTGCATGTTTAAAAATAAAATGCTAGGAAGGAAATGGGGGGAAAAAATGAGGGAAAATCATTCCAGGTGTGGCACAAGAGCTTGATGGGTTTGAGAAACAGCAAGGAGGCTGCCTTGGTTGTACTGCAGCGAGTGAGTGGGGCAGGAGGAAGGGGGATGAAGTCGAGACTGGTGGGCAGCAGGGTCATGTGGACCACTGGGAGAGGCTTGGATTCTCTGCAAAGGGCAGTAGGGAGCCACTGAAGGTGTTTCAGTTGAGGGGAGAGGGGTGTGATTTTACTTGTGTTACCACCCATCCAGCTGCCAGGTGGATAATGGATTGAGGGGCAGCAGGAGACCAGGGAGGAGGTGGCACAGAAGACTGACGGCTTGGATGAGGATGGTGCCATGCCATCCAGTAGAACTTTCTGCAATGATGGAGATGTTCTGCACCCGCACTGCCCATTACAGTAGCCACGAGCCCCGTGGGGCAGTTAATTATTTGAAATGTAGCCAATGCAACGGAGAACCTGAATTTTTAATGTTAATTAACTCAAATAGCCACATGGGGCTAGTGGCTACCCTATCAGAAAGATGTGGACAAAGGTCAGGAGAGGGGGACATGTATGGGAAGGGGAGATTGGCTGGAATAGCATGTTGGGCCGGTTTCCCACCATCTTACAAGGATTTCTCTAGCTTTCTGGTAATGAGGGCAGGAGGGCCTGAGTCTGCCGGGCCCTGACTACCCCTCACCCCTTCTCCAGTGTTGAGGGAACTTTGGCTGAATGACAGCACAGACAGTCCTCCTGGCCCAGCCATCATTAGATCTGGGTTCCCAGTCACTGCACACCATCAGGGATCCCTGGGCTGAGGAGGGCCAGTGGGAAAGGAGATGGCGGCCGTGCCCTGTCATCAGCAGGGGTCTGGGAGCAGGATGTGGCCTGTTTGTGCTCTTGGGAGAGGCTGCTTGTCCTGAGAGGCCTTTGGCACGGAGGGATCAGAGGGCAGGTGGCACCTCCCTGGCACCCACAGGCTAGAGGGAGGGGCAGGAATTCCTGGGCTCCGAGTTCTGTTCCCTGGAAGGTAGTCACCACCTGGGTCTTTCTGCAGAGGTGGCCAGGGGTCGCCATAGGGCCTGAAAGACTCTCAGTTCTCACTGTGGTAGTTTTAAACAAAAAATAGGGCATGACAACCACGTGCGGTGTGTGATCCCGGGCCTGCTTCTGAACCAGGGAAAAAAATACTACAGGACATTATTGGTGAAATCTGAATACAGCCTATGGATTGGATTAGAAGAGTACAACGTCAGTGTTGGTTTCTGTGTTTCATACTTGTCCTGAGTAGGTGAGAGGACGTCCTTGTTCTTAGAAAAACCGCATAGGAACTCTCCCCCGGGGGTGGGGGTGGGGGTGGGGGAGCCAAAGGTCTGCAGTTCCTTCTCACGTGGTTCAAAGTGTATATATACAGATAAAGCAAGTGGGCAAAACGTAAGGCCTCAGTGAATCTGAGTACGGGAGTTCTGTGCTCTGTTGTGATTTTTCTGTAGGTTTGAGATTGTCAATATAAAAAATTACTAAAAAAGTTTTGTTTTTAAAACCAACCATCGCCCAAGCCCAGCCTTGGGTTCTGATTCAGGTGGTGCTGGGAGGGACCGAGTGTCAGAAGTTGTCAGTTCTTCCTGGTGAGTCTGGTATGCAGAGGGGTTGACAGCCACTGTGCCGAGTGGACCTGGATGGGCGCACGTCTGTCACCTCTAGCACCACCACCCCCTCCTCCTAGTGTTGGCAGGAATGGCAGGAGGAGCTCAACCAGAGGCCATGCACCTCTCAGCCCAGGGGGTGCACTCCACAGTTGACTGCAGTGTCCTGGGCCTACCCAACCCCACTGGTCTGAAACTTCAGGGAGGGGAGGCTTCACTTCGGATTGGGCTTCAGAGTCTGCGCTTTTAACCTGAGCACCAGGGATAAGGATGGGAGGGAGGGGTGATCATCACTGGCACGATTACTAGCAGTTTTTCCAGCACTTACCCTGCAATCAGGCCTATCTCTGATCACTGCATGGCTTTTTTTTTTTTTTTTTTTTTTTTTTT